GGTAATCATAGACCCCAAAGGGGAAACAACTTCTATGGTTTTTCTAGATGGATGTGATGTGCCTGTCAAAATGCCTTCTAAATGTGAATTTAGCCCACAGATCACTGTAGTCATCAGCCTCAACTCAACTACTAGTGATGCTCCTGAAAACACATGACTATTACTGTGGCATGGTGCCTATTTCTTAGTCATAGGAAGACGACTATAGTTACACTCTCCAAGGCTCAGAAGAGGAATACAGGAGGAATGAAGGTGCTGTGTAACAGTTTCCTCTAAGATTAAAACATTCCATCCTATTTCTGTCAGCTCAGTCCTGCTTTGCGGTTCTTTCTCCCCTACCAATCAGGAGGGTGTGCAGATTCATTTACCTCTGTCCTTCTGTTTAGTAATGTAGGGTCACGGGACACACAGCTGGTTTGTCTGTTTGTCTTCAGTTGTCAATTTTCATTTCTTTTGAAACTTCAAAAAGTATATGGTTATTTATCCATCAAAGATGTGAGATTAACAAGTTGAGAATCCAAAAAATAAATAAATAAATAAATAAATGAATGAATAAATGAATAAATAAATAAATAAATCCTTTGTAGGGGCTGGAGAGATGGCTCAGAAGTTAAAAGCCCTTGCTGCTCTTCCAGACTAGAGTTGGGTATCCAGAACCCATACATGGGGCTGCTCACAACCATCTGTAACTCCAGCTCCAGGGGATCTGACACCCTCTTCTGGCCTCTGTGGGCACCTGCACACATGTGGCATACACCACACACATATACATAAATAAAAAATAAGAATAAAAGTGTTCCCTTCTGGCAAGTTTGCAACAGCCTGTCAAGATTGAGGTCAGCAGTAACAGAACAGTCCAACTAAGTCACAGTACAGGCAGAGCCAGGTTGTCACTGTCCTCAGAGCAGAAGCATCCAGAGATGGGCATAAGGGCTGACTATCCCTCTAGTTTCTTAACTCGTGTGCAGTTTAAGCTCTACTCTGTTTATCTTCTAGCTGGCTACTCAGCAGTCTGCCAGCCATTTGCTTTAGAAGCAGGGGGCAATAATTACTACTGGGAGCTGAGTGTGATGGTACATGCCTGTAATTTTAGCACTCAGGGGGCTGAGGCAGATAGGTCAGGAATCCTGAGCCTACCCGGGCTACAGAGTAAGTTTCAAGTCAACCTGGGCAAAAGCATGTCTCAAAATAAGTAACAGGGTTGGGTGCCTGGTTCAATGGTTGGGTCCTTATTGCTCAGAACTCACAAGTGAGGGTATGGGAATGGCAGTCTCTGCCTGGAACCCCCCAGTAAGGGGACTGGGGTGTGCTCAGTGATGGAGCTCCTGCTTGGAATCTTTTAGTGGGACTTGGGAACAAAGCTTTACATCCCATCCCTCCTTAAAACTACTGCCCCAAGAGAGTGGGGAGTGGCTGGTCTTCCCATCTCTGGATGCCTTTTAAACAAAGAGCAAGGAGGTCCTGCATCCTCTACTTTCAGCAAGCCTTTGGATCTTGCTATAACATCACAGTACTTTGGAAACAGCATTGTATTTATTTTTATGGCTGCCTTCTGCTTCCTTCATGTGACACTGGTTCTCTAGTTACAATATTTAAATTGTCTGTTTCTTTTTTATATAAAGTATCACTATGTAGCCCAGGCTAGCCTTCACCTCTGGATCCTCCTTCAGCATCCAGAGTGCTGGGATTACAGGCATGAACTACCATGTCTAGCTGTCTTCCTTCCTCCTTTTCATTTTATGAGATAAGAGCTTGCTATGTAGCCCAGGCAGGCCTTGAACTCACTATCCTCCTGCATCTGCTTCCAAATGCTGGGGTTACACGTGTATGCCACTATACCTGGAAAAAATTCCTTTAAAGAATTCTGTGGCCTCTGCCTTTGGTTTTCACTTTCTCCAATGAGTGTGTCTTGAGCAGGCCTCTTCTGCTGCCAGCATCAAGGGCAAAAATGGGGTCTGAACACGTGTGATGGGTAAAGGCATATGAATGGGGGTAGCCTCAGTTCACTCAAGTTAAAGAATCACTCAAGTTAAAGAATCACTCAATTCTAAAACTTGCAGCTAAACCCAAAAGTAGGGGCTGGCAGGCTCAGTGGGTAAAGCCTAATTACCTGAGTGTCATCTCTGGGTCCACTTGATTGGTGGAAACAGAGAACTGAGCTCCACACACAGGTCATGGCACACACTGACCAATGAACCAGCCAACCAATTAACCAAATTAAATAAATAAATAAATAAATAAAAACTGTAGATGGAGGGCACAGGCACAGGCACAGCCTTTGTTGATGTAAGGAACTGGAGGGGCCTAAAGTCTAGCTCACCCTCTCCCCATAAACTCTGACTCCTGTAGTAGGGTGTCACTGAAAGGAGCCCACTCTTCAGATTTGTTCAGAGGGAACTGCAAAGCTGGCTTACTGGTTAAGGTCACTTGCTGCTCCTCCAGAGGACTAGAGTTTATTTCCCAGCACCCATGTCAGGCAGCTCACAACCCTCTATAACCCCAGCTCCAGAGGAACCAACACTTGTAGCCTCTGTGGGCACCACTTGCATCCATGTGTACACACACACACACACACACACACACACACACACCTACACATAATTAAAAAGAATAAAAACAGACCTAAAAATGTCCTTAGAGGCAGTGTGTTCACAATGTTGGTCTAGATGCACACATTTTCATCCTTAGAAAGGTTTGGTCTGAGCTCAGGAGACAGCTTGCTCTGCAAAGGGCTTGTACAAGCATGAGGACTCGGTTCAGATCTCCAGCATCCACAGAAGGCAGGTGTGGTGACACACATCTCTATACTTAGAGCTGTGGGGGAATGAAGAGACAAGTGGGTCCCCGGGGGCCCACTAGTCATCGAATCTAGTCAGTGGGTGTACTCAAAACTCAGGGGAGACCCTGCCTCAAAAAATAAGGTGGCTGAGGCTGGTGATGTGGCTCAGCAGGCATAGGTGCTTGTCACACAAGCCTGGCTTCCTGGTTCAGTCCCCTGAATCCATATAAAGGAAGAAGGAGGGGATCAACTCCATAAAGGTGTCCTCTGTGCACTGTAGCAAATGATCCTTCTGCAAACACACAGGTTTGTTCTAACCTCAGCGTGGGCTGGTGCGTGCCTGTCATCTTAATACTCAAGAGGCTGAGGCAGAAGGATTACTGCAAGGTCAAGGATGATGTGGGATACACTGAAAGAGAAATCTCATAAAAAGAGAATCCTGGCACACGCCTTTAATCCCAGCACTTGGGAGACAGAGGCAGGTGGATGGATCTCAGTGAGTTTGAGGCCAGCCTGGTCTACAAGAGCTAGTTCCAGGACAGCCAGGGCTCCACAGAGAAACCCTGTCTTGAAAACCCAAAATACAAGACAAACAAATAAAAAGAGAATCCATAACTTGGGGCTGTGGATGTAGCTCAGTTAGTGGAGTGCTTGCCTAGCGTGGCAATACCTTGGGTCCGATCCCCCCCACCCCCCCCTGCATACACTGAGCTTACAGGTGCACACCTGGAAGCCCAGTGCTTGGGAGGTGGAGGCAGGAGAATTAGAGGTTAGTTCTAGGCTATCCTCTGCTGTACAGTGAGTTTGAGACCAGCCTGCTCTACACAAGACTGTTTCAAATGAACAAGAGAAGTTACAAGCAAGACATAAAATGCAAAGTTCAAGTCACAAACAGGACACATGGTATTCCTCATTTTATTTTTCATGTTCTGTTTCTCACTTGTATAAAATTTGTCAGGCTGTGCTAGTAAAGGAGAAGCAGGAGGGGGGGGCAGAGAAAGGGCAGGGACTAAGCAGCCACAGTGGGCTGTCAGGTCAAGTGGGGCAGGAAGCGGCAGGTGGGGCAGAGAGGGCCTCTTCCACCTGCACACCTTCCCACGAGATGTTCTGCTTAGACAGTCCCTGCCCTACATGATTCTGTAAACATGGTTTACAGCCTTTCTGAAGCTAAAACTAAAGGAGCAGCTGCATCAGTTGGAGCAGCACCTGATGCAGCAGCAGCTGCTGGAGCAGTTGCAGCAGCAGCAGCTGGAGCAACAAGACCACCTGGAGCACCTGGAGCTGACCCCGGTGGAGCTGGGCGTCCAGCAGCAGGGGCTACAGCTGGAGCTGACCTCTGTGCCTCCTGAGCTGCCGCTGGATATGGTGCCCGCTCCGGCACCAACAAGAAGTTTACAGTTCTTGTCCCCAACATTCATCTCACACCCCAGCCAGGCAGGAGGTAAGGTCTCCTCTGGCCACCCCTCCCCATAGCCTGGCCCGGAGACTGTGGTCCCCGGGTCAAATGGTGCTGACCACTTGGGTAGCATCTAAGCAGCTTTGGCTAGGTGGGGACTGCCCAGAAGTTCTTTCCAGGCTCTTTCCTTCTTGGAAATCTCTGCTTCAGCCTCAGGCTCTTATACCAGGGGACAGTAAGGAGGTACAGATGGCTTGGGAACATTGCAACAGAGGCCCAGAATCTGCTTTTAATGCCTGTAGTCTGGACTCCTGAGGAAGGTTTGACCTTCCACCCAGAGCAGGATTTCCTGGCTTTTATTGGCACATTGACCCCAATGCCACTATGACCCTGTGTCTATGAGCACAGGCATTTGCACCAGAACCACCTCTGCCTTTCGGCCTTTCATTCCAAACAAGTATTTTCAAGGTTTATGTCACTTGCAACAATTCATTGCCTTGATCAAGTTCCCTGCGTTGTGCAGGCCAGTTTCCTTTCCTTTCTTCCTTTTTTTCAGGCAGGGTCTCAGGTGACCCTGGCTACCCAACCCACTATGTGGCTAAACATGACCTCGAACATCTGATCCTTCCGGCCTCTACCTCCCAAGTGCTGGGATTACATGTGCCAGCACCCGTGTTGATATGTTGATATGATGCTGAAGATGAAACCCAGGGCACTGTGCTGGGCAAGCACGATACTGGCTGAGTTGCACCCTCTGCCCCCCTTTTCAGTTCCTTAAGTATTTAGAATGATCCATCACCCCCCTCTCTCTCACATATTCACACACACACACACACACACACACACACACACACACACACACACTGCATATTTCATTTGCTGGTTAGTATTTGGTCGCATCAAACCCCACGAGTAGTTTGCCACCAGTTGAGTTCTCAGTCCAATTTTCTCAGGAAGGGGGCGGGGGGGGGGCGCAATGATTGGGTAGTCTCTCTCACCCACATGGAGATGCTCTCTTGTGCATGGTTTTGGGGGAAGAGTCCATCTGTGAGCTTGGCGCATTGTAGGGGCAGGTCTGGGAAAAGTGCTTTCCTAAGGATAATTCAGATACCCAGAAAGACCATGACCTAGGGTCCAGGTGTGGATGGCTCTCACACCACTCTGGGCTTCCGGGATGCAGAGGCCTTCTGGGCCCTTGTGGAGGCTGACCTGGAGGACCGTGGCAGGCCTAGACTTCGGGAGCGGCCTGCCCCGTGAAACTGACGCTCATGCTTGCGGATCTGCAACTTGTGTCGAAAGCACTCTCCGCAGTCCTCGCAGGCATAGCGCTGCTCATCTGAGTGGGCGCGGCGGCGGTGGCGCAGCAGGTTGGAGGACACGCTGAAGCACCTGCCACAGTCATTGCAGACGTAGGGACGCTCACCGGTATGGGTTCGCTGGTGCTGCACGAGCGCCGAGCTCTCGCTGAAGCTCTTGGAGCAGAAGGTGCAGGCATAGGGCTTCTCGCCTGTGTGGATGCGTTGATGTATCACCAGGTTGGAGTGCTGTGAGAAGCTCTTGCCGCACTCGCTGCAGAGATATGGCTTCTCCCCAGTATGTGTGGCCTGGTGTCGTACCAGGTCCGTGCTGCGGCTAAAACCCCTGCCACACTCCCCGCAGATGGTTGGCCTGTCCCTGCCTCGCCGCCGCCTCCGCTGTTTCATGGGCGTCAGAGTCGCATTCCCTGCGGGGCCCGGGAAGGCCACCACAGTGGATGTGGCCACAGTGGGCAGCACCATGAGCTCTTGCAGCACCACATAGCCTGGAGGGGCCACCATGACAGTGGCTGGAGCTGGCACTGCGCCACCTCCCGGAGCGGGCACCATATCCAGCTGCAGCTCAGGAGGCACAGAGGTCAGCTCCAGCTGTAGCCCCTGCTGCTGGACGCCCAGCTCCACCGGGGTCAGCTCCAGGTGCTCCAGGTGGTCTTGTTGCTCCAGCTGCTGCTGCTGCAACTGCTCCAGCAGCTGCTGCTGCATCAGGTGCTGCTCCAACTGATGCAGCTGCTCCTTTAGTTTTAGCTTCAGCAGCCGCTGTTCCCGCAGCCTCTCCAGCTCCTGCTCTGACCCCATGTCCCCTGGCATGAGCTCTAGTTCCACTTGTTTCTCCTCCTCTGGCTCCAGTGGAGGAGGTTGCAGCTGCTGGTGGTACTGCAGCTGTTCCTGCTGCTGTTGCAACAACTGCTGCTGCTGCAACTGTTCTTGTTGCAGCAATAGTTGGTGCTGTATCTGGGCCTGCTGCTGCAACAGCTGCTGCTGCAGCAACAGCTGCTCCTGTAGCTCTTCCTGTGGCTGCAGCAACAGTACTTGCTGCTGCAATTGTCCCTGCTGTTGCAACACTTGCTGCTGTTGAAACAGCTGCTCCTGTTGACACTGCTGCAACAGCTGTTGCCCTTGCACTTGTTGTAAGTGCTGTTGCAGCAGCAATTGTCCCTGCTGCTGCAGTAGTTGCTGCTGTTGGAGAAGCTGCGGTGACTGCCGTTGCTCTTGCATTGGCTGCTGTAATAGCTGCTGCTGCAGCAAAGCCTGTTCTTCTACACTTTGCTGCAATAGCTGTTCTTGTACCTGCTGCTGTACAAGTCGCTGTTGTTGAAATTGCTGCTGCTGTTGCAGCTGTTTCCGCTGCGGTTGTAACAGCTGTTGCTCTTGGCCTTGGGGTTTCATCACCATCATCATCAGCTGCTGCTGCTGCAACAATTGTTGCTCCTGTCCAAGTTCCAGATGCTGCACCAGCTGCAGCTGTGGTCTCTGTTCCTGATGATGCGCAGACTGGAGGTTTTCCTGTAGTTCTTTCTGAAGCTGAAATGGCCGCAGCTGCCCATCTTGCTGCTGCTGCAATTCTGGCTGCGATCCTAACAGATGAGGAGGAGGCTGCTGCTCTCGGAACTGCTTGTGCCGCGGTTGTTGTTCCAGCTCTTGCTGCCGCTCTAACTGTTGCAGGTGCAAGTCCAGCTGGGCTGCTTGCTCCCCTCCGGAGCCACTTCCTCCTCCTGGCTCTCACTCCCACCACTGCCACCTGTAGTGGAAATGGCAGGAAGCCAGGAGAGAAGGATCGCTGGACAGCCACCTGGACCAGACCCACGGAAAGAATGTACTCAGTATCCACTCTGGGGCTCTTAGCAGGGGCCCAAAAAATGAGGGTGATGGGACAAACATTCCCAGAGTCCCACGGATCATCTCACTCGGTCTCCATCTAAGCCCCTTCACACAAGCCCCGTGTTTTGATATCAACAGGGATCTTTGGGCTCCTAACACCACTCCCTGAGAGTTTAATACTTCTTCCCCATGCAGGAGAAGCCAGACACTGCAGTGGGTGGACTCTGATCTCATTGCGGTCACACTATTTATTTATTTATTTATTTATTTATTTTGGGTTTTTTGAGACAGGGTTTCTCTGTGTATCCCTCGCTGTCCTGGAACTAGCTCTGTAGACCAGCTTGGCCATGAACTCACAGATATCTGCTTGCCTCTGCTTCCCAAGGGCTTGGATGAAAGGCGGGCACCACCACTGTTCAGTGATGGTCACACTTTAAATAAGTGAAATTTGCCTTGTCTATGAACAGGGGACATTTCTGTAAAGATACAGCAAACCGTTTCTAGAAAGCACTGAATCAGGGATCAGTTAGGGAGTCTGTGGTTCTGAGTTGCATTGAAAAGCCAGGCACAGCAGTCGGCCTGAAACTTCTGCCTCAGAGGGTGGAGAGAGGGGATCTGGGAATATGCCGGCTGGCAAGACTAGCCATCTATGTAAGCTTTGGGTTTGATTGAGAAACCCTGCCCCATTGGCAAAGGTGGAAGAACAATCAAGGATGATTCGTGACATCAACCCAGGGCCTCCAAATACAGGGGCAAACACTTCAATACACACAAACACAGATAAGAAACATGAATACACACATACACACAAAAATTCGTGTAGGTAATTATCTTTTCAAAAAAAATCTTTCCAAACACCTTTGTTGAGTCTACTTTAAAAAACAACAACAACTGTGTGTCTTGTGTGTATGTGCATGTGTGCTCATGTGTGTGCTTGTGGGAACATATGTGCCACAGCACACCCATGATCAGAGAACAACTTTGGGTGTTGGACCACACCTCCCACATTGAGGCAGGGTCTCTTGTCTGTCACTGCACAGGCCAGTCAGGATAACTGGTCCTGGAGATATCAAGAGATTCTCCTGCCTCCGCCTCCCATTTCACTATAGGAATGTTAGGATTACAGACATGCACTACCATGTTTAATTTCTGGGGATTCAAACTCTAATACCCAAGCTTGCAGGGTGAACACTTGCCCCAGTGAGCTGCCTCCCCAGCCCCTTGGGTGTATTTTATTATTCAGACACACTTCTACAGAACAGCTGGGATGTTGGGTGGGAGATGAAGACAGCTATGGGAACCTATCTCTATAGCAAGTTCAACTCCACCTCCTCTGCAGGGATAGACCTCACCTCTGTGTGAATCTCCACATTTCTAGCTTGGTCACGTGGTCACTCTGACTTCCTGGGACAGCAGTTTCCACAGAAGCATTTTATTGCCCATGTAGTTAGATGTCACCTGAAGTGTATGCCCACTAGAGTTAAATTTACAATCAGAAAGAGTCTTCATTCAATTCATATGTCCCCATTTTATTATTTATTCTTCCAAATTTCCTGATATTTTCTCTCCCTCCCTCCCTCCTCCTCTCCATTCCTTCCTCCCTCCCTCCGTCCCTCCTGCCCCCTCTCTCTGTGTCTCACTGTATAGCCAGAACCTAGAATTCACTGCACAGCCCAGGCTGTCAAACTACATCCCTCTTGCCTACGCCTCCTGAGTTCAGGGATTCCAGTTATGTGTCACCATGCCCAGCCCTACCTGGTTCTCCCTTAACTCTCTGCAAGCCTGCCCCACACTGTCACTCATCACCTTTTAAACCTCACAATGTGAAAACTGACTCTTGTACACTCTTGAAAGCTACCCCTGCATGGGCTTAAGACCCAGCATTGGGAAGTTCCACAACACCAGGGTTGCCTCTGTGTGGCTGGTGGAGGGAAAGAAATGGGAACAAATGTTCAGGAACTGGGAACCAGGGTGGAGGTCACTACAGGCCATGTAGCCAGTGTCTGAGGCAGAAAACCCCTCCAGCTCCATGGGAGACTGTGGAGGCCACCTGGGAAAAACAGGTTAGAGCCAGCTCAGGTGTGGGGGTCAGGGCTGTGGCTACTGAATCAGTCACAGTGTCTCTCTCCTGCAAGACCTTGGCCTGACAGACACCTCAACAGGTCCCAAGTCAAATTCCAGGGTAGTTAAGGTTAGCAGGTGTCAGTGAATATGCTGTTGGCTACATGGGTCCCTCTGTTGTGTACTGGTCTGTGCCAGCTTGCAACTCAACTAAAGAACCCTTGCTAGGGACCCCATTGTCTCCACCCCCCAACCCTCACCTGAGAGGATGTCAGGCCCTGGACCCCCATCCTCAAGACATCGCAGCTCCAACACAAAGGTCTCTGTTGTGGGACCCAGCTCCATCCTGGCAGTCACACCAGGGTCCTGGGGAGCAGGCTGTGCTAAGAGGAAGAAAGGAAGCTGTTCAGAGGGGAGATTGTAGTGGTTGAACCTCATTCCTACACAGACGAGCCAGAGCTGTTATTTGCTGGGCGTACACAGGGATCCCCCTTAGCTGACCTTCCTACCCCCACACCGAAACATAACTATGGGAAACAGCCTCTCCTAAGGCTGGGAAGCTGGAGGCACGCCCAAGGGTACCCGTGGCACAATCCCTTGTCCATTCCAAAGCACGACAATCTCCCCGGCTTAAAGGCCACGTATGTCAGGTGTCATCCTAGGTCCCTGGGAAGGTAGGTGTCCAGAGCACTGTAATCCATGGCTGGGGCCTTCTGCATGCCTGTGCTCCTGTCCTGACTCCACTCTGAAGAAATGGTCTCCACATTCAGGTACCCCCACTCCCGCATGCCAGCGGATTCCATCTCCCTCTGACTTAGGAGCCCTGTACCTGGCAGGGCTCTCCCGCCAGGCCTCACCTGGAACAGCATTTCCCGCCGCCAGCAGCAGCCTCTGCACTAGGGGAGGTGTGGTCACCAGTGGCTACAAGGTGGCTGTTCAGCCAGAGCTCCTTCCCGAGGTGCCTCCATCTAGAAGGAGCCAGGGAAGCTGCGACCACCCCCGGGGAGCCCTTTACGGGCACTCCGCGGGGTCTTCACTGTCAGAGCTGCGGAGGTCGCCCTGGGCCAAGACAAGGTGCAGACTGGAGTTCCCAGGCAGAAGTTGGTGGAGACTCTCACGTAGGGACAGGGAAGGGAGGCAGGGCTCCAAATCCCGAGCAGGGATCAGGGTTGGTTCGGGTGTCCATGGCGCGCAGCAGGGCCCAAGCTGGAGCCGTAGGTCGACTCAGTGGGAACCGGTGACAAAGGTCCTAGGCGATCACCGGCCACAGGTGCCCAGAGGGCGGGAGGCGGGCGCCAAGGCCGGGCCAGGTCCCGGATAGCCCGCCC